TAAAGAGATCTGTAATAAAGTATTATATATTGTAGGAAGAGATTGATTATAAAGAGATAATAGAGATCTGTAATAAAATATGATATATTGTAGGAAGAGATTAATTATAAAGAGATTATAGAGATCTGTAATAAAATATGATATATTGTAGGAAGAGATTAATTATAAAGAGATAATAGAGATCTGTAATAAAATAAGATATATTGTAGGAAGAGATTAATTATAAAGAGATAAAAGAGATCTGTAATAAAATATGATATATTGTACCAAGAGATTAATTATAAAGAGATAATAGAGATCTATAATAAAATATGATATATTGTACGAAGAGATTAATTATAAAGAGATAATAAAGATCTGTAATAAAATATGATATATTGTACGAAGAGATTAATTATAAAGAGATAATAAAGATCTGTAATAAAATATGATATATTGTAGGAAGAGATTAATTATAAAGAGATAATAAAGATCTGTAATAAAATATGATATATTGTACGAAGAGATTAATTATAAAGAGATAATAAAGATCTGTAATAAAATAAGATATATTGTAGGAAGAGATTAATTATAAAGAGATAATAGAGATCTGTAATAAAATAAGATATATTTTAGGAAGAGATTAATTATAAAGAGATAATAGAGATCTGTAATAAAATATGATATATTGTAGGAAGAGATTAATTATAAAGAGATAATAGAGATCTGTAATAAAATAAGATATATTGTAGGAAGAGATTAATTATAAAGAGATAATAGAGATCTGTAATAAAATATGATATATTGTAGGAAGAGGTTAATTATAAAGAGATTATAGAGATCTGTAATAAAATATGATATATTGTAGGAAGAGATTAATTATAAAGAGATAATAAAGATCTATAATAAAATATGATATATTGTAGGAAGAGATTAATTATAAAGAGATAATAGAGATCTGTAATAAAATAAGATATATTGTAGGAAGAGATTAATTATAAAGAGATAATAAAGATCTGTAATAAAATATGATATATTGTAGGAAGAGATTAATTATAAAGAGATAATAAAGATCTATAATAAAATATGATATATTGTAGGAAGAGATTAATTATAAAGAGATAATAAAGATCTATAATAAAATATGATATATTGTAGGAAGAGATAAATTATAAAGAGATAATAAAGATCTATAATAAAATATGATATATTGTAGGAAGAGATAAATTATAAAGAGATAATAAAGATCTATAATAAAATATGATATATTGTAGGAAGAGATTAATTATAAAGAGATAATAGAGATCTGTAATAAAATATGATATATTGTAGGAAGAGATTAATTATAAAGAGATAATAAAGATCTGTAATAAAATATGATATATTGTAGGAAGAGATTAATTATAAAGAGATAATAAAGATCTGTAATAAAATAAGATATATTGTAGGAAGAGATTAATTATAAAGAGATACTAAAGATCTGTAATAAAATAAGATATATTGTAGGAAGAGGTTAATTATAAAGAGATTATAGAGATCTGTAATAAAATATGATATATTGTAGGAAGAGATTAATTATAAAGAGATTATAGAGATCTGTAATAGAATATGATATATTGTAGGAAGAGATTAATTATAAAGAGATAATAGAGATCTGTAATAAAATAAGATATATTGTAGGAAGAGATTAATTATAAAGAGATAATAAAGATCTATAATAAAATAAGATATATTGTAGGAAGAGATTAATTATAAAGAGATAATAGAGATCTATAATAAAATATGATATATTGTAGGAAGAGATAAATTATAAAGAGATACTAAAGATCTGTAATAAAATATGATATATTGTAGGAAGAGGTTAATTATAAAGAGATTATAGAGATCTATAATAAAATAAGATATATTGTAGGAAGAGATTAATTATAAAGAGATAATAAAGATCTATAATAAAATAAGATATATTGTAGGAAGAGATTAATTATAAAGAGATAATAGAGATCTGTAATAGAATATGATATATTGTAGGAAGAGATTAATTATAAAGAGATAATAGAGATCTGTAATTAAAATATGATATATTGTAGGAAGAGGTTAATTATAAAGAGATTATAGAGATCTGTAATAAAATAAGATATAATAAGATATATTGTAGGAAGAGATTAATTATAAAGAGATAATAAGGATCTATAATAAAATAAGATATATTGTAGGAAGAGATTAATTATAAAGAGATAATAGAGATCTATAATAAAATAAGATATATTGTAGGAAGAGATTAATTATAAAGAGATACTAAAGATCTGTAATAAAATATGATATATTGTACGAAGAGATTAATTATAAAGAGATAATAGAGATCTATAATAAAATAAGATATATTGTACGAAGAGATAAATTATAAAGAGATACTAAAGATCTGTAATAAAATATGATATATTGTAGGAAGAGGTTAATTATAAAGAGATTATAGAGATCTGTAATAAAATAAGAAGTAAACTGGATGAAAACAGTATCTTGCAGTATATGGGAATTAAAACTGATGCCAGCAGTGATAGCTCAAGTGTAAAAACGTGAGTTAATAACATTAATCATATAGGAGTTGGGCCTAAGATGCTTGTTTTGATTATATTTATGTTTTATTTTCTAGCACACTGTATGATGTGTTGTCATTAGTCTAATTAGAACTAGAAAATAGGTTGTATATCTAAATTTCATATCATTTGATTTTTGAATTTTTTTTTCCTCGACCGACACAAAAATATGTACAATTATCATCATCAAGAACATGTGTTTCTATGTTTAGTGATATGGAAAAGAAGAAAGGTTATCTAATTGATTGTGTAGTAAAACTAGGCATAGCTCAATGTGAGATATATACCAAACATTCAACAGGCACTACCTCAAGTTCTGTAGATTCTAGCTCCTCAGAGGATATTAAACTAGATGATATAACACAGACTTATAATATTTTATTAAAGTATATTGATATCAATGACCAAAAGGTAAGTGGATAGTGAAGGGTTTTTCTAAACTTTTTATGCGTAAAATACTATGATATGATTTATGTGCACCATTCCAATTTTTAGTCAGATGTAGCTGTTTTTGCTATTCAACTAAGCATTTTAAGACGTCACTATTGCAAAGTCTGTTTATATCTTTTGACCGTTGCGATAGTCATAAAAATCTTAGTTTTGGTTGAATTGCAAAAACCACACATATCTGACTAAAAATTGGAATGTTACAAATTAATGCTCCAAACAATTAAGTAATACATTACTTAGCATCATGTGAAATCAATATTTTGTCTATTATAAGGTCATTTGGTTGACCTTGAGCAAGGATAACTATTAGAGACCCAACAAATAGTAGACAGGTTGCCCATAAGCATTACCCAAAGAAGTTAAAGAAGATATATCAGTACCTTATTTGACTGTTATTGTTGTGTTATTTCAGGTTATACCATTTACCATTAAATATTACACCATATTAAAACATTATGGTCGAGTTATTAAATTAATCAATAAACAAATAGAAGATAAAGGTGGCAATAAAGAACAAGATATAAAACTTAAAGAAGTAAGTGAAAAATGTAACACAATCATTTTTTTAACTGATATTTTTGGCAATAATAATATGACAAGCTTTGAAACTCTTTCATTTCTAATTTGTTGGTTCAAAAAATAATTTATGGTTCTGATTTGATTTGGTCATGTGGGTAGGGAAGGTAGCTAGACACAAAGTTTTATTTATTTAAATATATTTTGTGGCCAGCAAACACTATGAAATAAGCAGACTAAACGATGCTGCCATCTTATAGAGCAGTGTTTCCCAACCTTTCTCAGTCTTCACACCCCTGAAACATTCACCTGGACCTTTCACATCCCCAAAAATTTGTTTCATCCACATTTTCAGCATGTGTTGATGTGAGGTGCTCTCTCAATTCAAAATAAATTCTTCTCCTACACCAGTTGGTCACACCCCTGACACCCTAGTCCCACACCCCAGGTTGGGAACTTGGGTTATAGAGTCTCATTTTTGTCCAGAAAATAGAACTTCTTAAAATCTTTGAATATGACAATGACCAATTATCAAATGTAAGGTAGGACAGGGTCAATCAGGAAACTATAACTATTATTATTTAAACAGCCTTAAGACTTGTCCAAAGTTCACCTATTATCCATATATTCATTGTTTATTTCAGTGTTATGCTGAACTAGGCTGGGACCATTGTAAAATATTATCGGATGACTGGATTTTAGTTAAATATATGCCTAATTATAGGCTGTTTTAATGAAAACTTTCCTTTAGATGTTAGAAGTGTCCTGAGTAAATTTACAAAAAATAATTCGTTACTATTAACCATTAGAAAACTGTATTTTCCATAATCTAATATTCAGTGTCTTAAATGAAAAAGTTATTTTTCTCTAAGAATATATAATAAAACACAAGATTGAAGTGCAATGATGAAAGTAAGACAATTGAAAATAGCAAAGCAGGTAATGAAAGTTGGGCAAGACTATTGATTTGAAATGATGAAAGTTGGGCAAGACTATTGACCTAAAATGATGAAAGTTAGGCAAGACTATTGACTTGGAATGATGAAAGTTAGGCAAGACTATTGACTTGAAATGATGAAAGTTAGGCAAGACTATTGACTTGGACTGATGAGAGTTGGGCAAGACTATTGACTTGGAATGATGAAAGTTGGGCAAGACTATTGACTTGGACTGATGAAAGTTGGGCAAGACTATTGACTTGGACTGATGAAAGTTAGGCAAGACTATTGACTTGGACTGATGAAAGTTAGGCAAGACTATTGACTTGGACTGATGAAAGTTGGGCAAGACTATTGACTTAGAATGATGAGAGTTGGGCAAGACTATTGACTGGGACTGATGAAAGTTGGGCAAGACTATTGACTTGGAATGATGAAAGTTGGGCAAGACTATTGACTTGGAATGATGAAAGTTGGGCAAGACTATTGATTTGGAATGATGAAAGTTGGGCAAGACTATTGACTTGGACTGATGAAAGTTGGGCAAGACTATTGACTTGGACTGATGAAAGTTGGGCAAGACTATTGACTTGGACTGTTGAAAGTTAGGCAAGACTATTGACTTGGACTGATGAAAGTTTGGCAAGACTATTGACTTAGAATGATGAAAGTTAGGCAAGACTATTGACTTGTAATGATGAAATTAGAAAGTATTCAAGAAAATTGACATGTAATTATGAAATTAGAAAGTATTCAAGAAAATTGACATGTAATGATGAAATTAGAAAGTATTCAAGAAAATTGACATGTAAAGATGAAATTAGAAAGTATTCAAGAAAATTGACATGTAATGATGAAATTAGAAAGTTAGACAAGACAATTGACATGTAATGATGAAATTAGAAAGTTAGACAAGACAATTGACATGTAATGATGAAATTAGAAAGTATTAAAGAAAATTGTCATGTAATGAAGAAATTAGAAAGTATTGAAGAACATTGACATATAATGATGAAATTAGAAAATATTCAAGAAAACTGACATGTAATGATGAAAGTAGAAAGTATTCAAGAAAATTGACATGTAATGATGAAATTTAGACAAGACAATTGACATATTGAAAGTAAGACATTGCAATCAATGTGCAATGATGAATTAAAAAATGTTCAATGCAATTGACATGCAATGATTAAATCAGAAAGTATTTAAGGCAATGATGAAAGTAAGGACAGTATTTAAGCCAATTGACATGCTATGATGAAAGTAATATATGAATGTTTTATGTAAATTTATTCAGTTGTGTTTTTAATGTAGTTTTTTGTGAAAATGATATTGTAGGTCATTCCAGGTGCACCATTGTCACCCGATACTCCGTCCTGTAAGTTCCGACTTTTCTGTGTGGAAATTGAATGATAATTTAATGGTTCATTGACAATCTAGGCTTTAGATGGGCTGCAGGGGAACTGAATGTGGATGTGTTACAATTAACTAACAACAAGCTTTAACAGCTGACAAAGCAAACTATAGAGTTTTTAACCCAAGGGATAATTTAGAATTTTTGAGGTATAATTTGGTGCTTTGTAGCCTAGCATAAAATTTTTGGACAAATATAATTAAAGTCGTTCTATTCAGTCAGGCTGAATGAAAAAGATTGCTGAGGAAATCAAGATATAGATTTTTAGTGGGAAGGGGGTAGTGGAAGAAAATATATTAAAAAAAACACTAGAATTTTAACAGTGAAATATAATTTTATTCTGTTTTGACTGTAGATGTATTATAGATTAAAGCACTATTATATAATGTATGTTAATGTGTATTCAATAGAAATTTTATCATATAACTGCTATGATAGTCCAGCCAGCAAAGATGCATATCTGTGAATCATAAACCCGAGCAGTCAACTTTCAGTTTTGTTTGCACAGTTTTAATAACCATTCCATCAACCACAAAAGAAAATAAGACAGCTCCTAATCAGTCTAAATAAAATTAGATCAAACTTTTGTTCCGTTTTTTTAGCCTTTATTTTTAACATAGCCACTACAGTCAGGGTCTAAAGACAGGCCTCTTGAAAATAATCTATTGAACTAATCTGCTTCAACCAATCAAATTCCTTCACTCTCTTACAAAATCCCAGTGCCGGAGAGGATCGAAATTTATTGGTCAAAGCAGGGTTAGGTCAAAAGTTATTTTGATGAATATTTAAGAGGCCAGTCTTTAGACCCTAACTGAAGTGGCTATATTGAAAATAAAAGCTAATAAAAAATGGAACGAAAGTTGGGTCTAATTGTAATTATACAGGCTCATATTTAATCTTCTTTGGATATGCATTATTGCAACATTGGTTGTTTCCTTCTCAAAAAATATTAACATTTAAATGTGGTTCTCACAACTTCATTCATTATATTCATGATGACTGTGTGAGAACCACATTGAAATGTTAAAAGTTATAAATATTCTAGAAGTATCTATTTATAAAATTGTTTTATTGATCTATAACTTAAGCTTCTAAAATGCCGTTGAAGGATTATGAAGTTTTTATCCACTTTTAAACTTTGCCACTGTCACTGTTAGAACATAATACAGGACTTTGTTGTGTTCAGACTAGTGCGGACACGATTCATATATATATATATATATATGAAGTGATGTATCGTAATACGCATACAAATATTTGATACGATACATGGCATGATTGGCAATACCCAGCACTAGTTTAGACTAGTAGTAAGATGACCAATGTTAAATTATGGTATACTAATGGTATATAATTGTACAACACAAATAATTTACAAAAATGATAATCAGTAAAAAAAATAACACTTAAATAATATCAAAAGTTCATTTGTTAAAACTTTTAACTGTAATAAAATGACAGAGCCTCTTTCTGGATTCAATATAACGTGAATAAGGACTAATTAAGTCAAATATTTGCCTTGAAAATACTATAAACATACTGTAATTTCAAATTCTATTTGATAAAAAAACATTATACCTTTCTAAAAACATCTTGTTTCCTTAAAAAAAATAGTCTATCTATAACCATTTACTTTTCCAACTGTCGAGGGATCTTTAACGCACACAAGGCCTCGGTTTATTGTTCCATGCGAACAACTGGAGTTACCACGTTAAGCCCTGCATCACTGACAGGGTGAAACCCGGTTGGAAAATCTGAAGTTTTTATCTCAACCTATGCCGGGATTGAACCCTCGACCTTCAGGTTAGCAAGCGAGTGTCTATCTCACTGAGGCTGCCTCTGAGTACATGAAAGGTGGGACAAGAATAAAATGAACACAAAAAGGTATTTTTCACATAATTCCAGAATTAAAATCTTCTTCATAGGCTCTCATTGATTCTTTTTCTTACAGGGAGAATCTTCTTTTTCATTCCAATTTCCTTGAGATTCTAATGAGGTTTCTATGTTTCCATCTGCTATTGAAATTTCCTTCACATAAGTTTTAAAACACATTCAAGGGACAGATACACCATTTTTTTTACCTTAGTTTCGTACCTTAGTCTCAGGAACGGGAATTTTTTAGCTGAGACAATCAGTAATAGTTTTCACAGCTAACAGTTGAAATTTGAGCCTTCAAATCCATGTGTCCAGAATTATCCACGTTTGAATGTTCAAATGACGACTAGTCATATCAAGATAATATAGAAAATTATATAGAAATAGTGAGTTTCTAGTACTTCTGAAGACAATTCAAATATACTCAACACTCAAATAAACCCCCCAAAATGGCGCAACTGTCCCTTTAACACATACACAATGGTTGACGATAAATAATATTATGCATAATAATTCTAATCTTCCTTAAAAACATGGCATTCAAAAAACACAGTTTATTAGTCAATTGACCTACTTAATGAAAACCAGCTTCATTTCTTGATCATTCTGGTGAAATAGAACAAATTTGTTGTAATCGAGTGAGACTATAATACAAACTGATGGCATCCTTTGATTATGCAAGTACATATTTAAAAAAACAGCTTTATAGGCTCCCATTGATTCTCTTACTTGAAGGGATTGTGAAGAGTTTTTCTATTTTTTTTATGTCTATCGGGGATACTGATAGCATCAATTTGTACCATTCCAATTTTTAATCAGGCGTCTGTGGTTCCTGCAATTCTGCTAAAATTAAGTGTTTGATGAAGAGACTAATGTGAAGGCCCTTATATATGATAAAGCATATTTTTCTATTAGTGATGTCATCAAACACCTTGTTTTAGTGGAATTGCAGGAACCACAGATGCCTGATCAAAAATGGAAAGGTGCAAATTGATTCTATCAGTGTTCCTGATAAACAAGAAAAAATAAAAAACCTTCTTTTAATCCCTTTAAATGCACATTTAAAAAATAAAATCCGGTAAAAGACTCTCTGGTTCTGTCTCTAAAGATGAGTTCCCGAGCAATGTTCTGGCTAGTGATAATGGATTTCCTTGTATATCAATCACTATATTAAAAATCAATGCCTGAACTTTTCAGTCTTTTAAAAAATAATTTTTTGGCAAATTGGAAAAGTTCTAAATCTAGATGGTTATTTTCTTTAAGTCTCTCTGTGTATTTAGAATAATCAACCTTTTCTGCATGTGTTCGATTTTTTTGCTCAAAATCTTCTAAAAATGACAATTGAAACGTTTTCTCAAAGAGTGCTTGAGAGTAGTTTTGATAGTCTGTTATTCCAAAAAATGTTGTTTCTTTGAGATTATGTTTAGCACTTTCCAACATAATGGAGTCTCTTTTCTCTTGGCTCATTCCAGTTTTATTATAACAATTTACTAAGCGTAGATCAGCCAACATTCTTGTTTGACGATTATTGGCTAAGTTATGTGGACACCCTAAAAACTCATCCAATGACACACCTTCCCATGTGCTGTCTTCGTAGCAAAAAGGAACTTCTTCTAATGTAGCAGGTTTGCCATTGCACTTAAGATCAGCGCCACTCCAGGTGGCACCACGAACCACATGTTTCCATTCACTAATGTATCTGTTAATTGGATCTCTGAGATATGTTATGTAATGTAACCTGAAATATAGGATGAAATAAGATAATGTAACAAATTGCACCAATTTTAAGGATAAATTTTCAAACTTTTACCACTCGTTAACTTTCTTTTGATTTTCTCAAATTTCTTCCTAATTTACCCAACCTGATTGGGCTAATAAAGACGTGCATAAGCACATAAGCAATAGGCATAAGACTATTCTTCCTTTGATTTTGAGCTCACAGGGCCTTGGTTTATTGTTCAATCCGAACAACTTGACAGACAGGGGGAACCAGGTTATTAAGATAGCTTGCTAGGCAAGGTAATATTTGCCAACCAGCAGCTTTGATTTTAGATAAAAAATATTCAGCAGTACAGTAACAATCACCAGTATTAAATATCCAACCTTCAGTCATACACATCTTTCGAACTTTTTTCAAGAGCAAGGTCAATAACTCCTAACAAACAATTTTTGATTTTTTGATTTCCAATAGGGTTCATCTCTGGGTAAATAATAACGGGTAATAAACAATTTCACCAAATTTTGTCATAACCTGTCAAGAATTGTGCCTACTTGAGTGCTTACAGACTAAAAATTTAACTTGTTTTCCAATATGAAGACAATAACTCATAATAAATGATTCTTCTGATTTTCAATAGGGTTGTTCATCCTTGGGACGTGATTACAAACAATCATACCCAGTTTCATTAAAATCAGTCAAGTATTGTGCATTCTAGAGTGTTTACAAGCAATTGTGGACAATCGAACCAACAGACGGACGGACATGGGTGACAACAATATACGCCCTCCATTCATGTGGGCGTATAAAAATCAACTTATATGACTTAGAATAGCCTACCTTCTTTTTCTGTGACTGCCTTCCATTTGGTCTAATGTTTGATCTACACAATTTTGTAATTCTGTCCAGTCTGCATGAAGACCACATTTCCATCCAGTAGAATACCGACTAAACAACCACAATTTTTTTCTGTCTGTTAGACAGTCACATCTTTTTACTTTACGTTGACATACACATGGAGGATCAACATCTAGATTTTTAACTAAAGCTCTCCCAAAAAATGTCCCTCCAGTCTTCTGAATGTGCAGAAAAACCAGTACATCATTTTCATCAATGTCAAAATCTTGTGTGTCAACTTTATAATCTGGTCCAACTATGTCTGGTGTAGTCAACATACCAATTTGTCCCTTTGAGACTAAATTTACACCCATACCGGTACACTCTTTAAACACACAATGATTTGAGAAAAACCCTCCAAAATATACCAGTATAACAAATGACAGAATCAGAATAAAGGAAAAGATCAGCTTCCACTTGGTTATCATTGTTCATCTATATTTAGTAAACAAAGACTCATATATTCATACATGAAGATCAACTCTTCATTATGTAGGTTTCATTGCATATCCTGAAAAATATAAATAATATAGTAATTAATATAAAACTATATAATCAATTAGTGAATCGACATCCTTTTCTGCTTCTATTAGGATAAATGAAGATGCATCACACCATAGTGAACAATGTAGTAGATTTTGCCAGATCAGGGGCTTAGCCGCTTAATTTCCATCAATAAAGAATGAATGTTTCTAAAACAAGTGTTAGAGGGATGAGTTCAGGTAGATTATTGGAGACAATAACATCATTAATTGGCACAATTCCAATTTTCGGTCAGATATCTGAGGTTTTGCAAATCCACTCACATTAAGCGGTTTATGATAAAGCTTTCACTAAAATAGCTTTTGCATGGTAACCAAAGATCTACATAAAATTGGAACGAAGCAAATATTAGCCATTAAAGGAATTGTAAAGGGGTTTTCTACAATTCTTATGTGTATAGGGGGCACTGATAGCATCAGTTTGCAGCATTCCAATTTTCTGAATGGAGCAAATTGATGCTGAAAGTGTCCCTGACATACAAAATTAAGAAAACTTCTTTACAATCCCTTAAATGGCTAATATACACATTATGTCCATAAACCGGCAAAATCAAGTTTCAAAAGCCCTGTCATATTCCAAAATCATTGATCATAAATAAATAAATGATTATCACTGAATATTTAAAATGTGAGACCTAAAGAATACAAATTAGATGTTGTAGAGCACAAGAACAGACAATAATGGCTAACTAAATACACAGAACTGCCCTTCCTGTGCAAAGTTATAATAAACTCTCACAGTACATAGTACTCATAGTAGGGCATGATTGATATAGACTTAAATTTCCTGTTTCCTGTTGCAGTGGTATGAAATGATGTTATACTAATAGTTTGAAAAATAACCCAAAATATCATACTAGTATCATACTGTTCAACCAAATCAATGAAAAAAAAGGGAAAACAATGAAAAAGTAAATGAGAGTCTTTAATTGTTCTTAATAGTTTTGTTTTGGTTAAATTCCAAAAAAAAACAAAGATGTTTTTGAAAATGTGTATGGAGTTTTCAGTAAGAATTGGTCATTTTCATTTGCAATTTCGAAGATGGAGGAGTCATCATTTGAAATGTACAAATATCAAACATTACATTTGTATACAACATTCTAAGACAAATGATACACAACTGAAAAAAACTGAATTTCATTTTTTTTTAAATGACAGAATGGGCTGTGGTCATAGAATGAGCTGATTAGGGTACTTGTCCACACACACTGAGCTCATTTGGGCACTGTTGTAGTTTCGACCCCTTTCCCTTCCCGTTGAGCTATCGATGTTGGAACTGTCTGAAATTTGCTGTGAACATTCAGGACATATATAAGTACCCCTCTGCCAAGTTCCAAATCGATAGCTCAACGGGAAGGGAAAGGGGTCGAAACTGCAACAGTGCCCTGCCGCTGACTAGGATAACCTGTGCATAATATTGATAAACAATAATAAAATCACCATCCACAAACTTACTAGGGCCAAGGTTCAAAATGCCAGGATTCCGTATAAAACCTTCTACATAGTAGGCCTTATCATGTAAAATATCTCAGTTTTGAGCCGATTCTTTCACAAATTCCAATACTTTCTGTTTTTGTCATTATTCTATGTAAGTAAGAGTTATCTTCTCTTGATATTGAAGGGGTTGTACTTGTTTTAAAAAGCAGAACTATTGACCATCAGGGCCTCTCGTGTACTAACATATCATTTTTTTCAGAATCAAAATATAGAATGGCTCTTCAGTCTAACATAATTATGTGATAAAACGATATTAGATTATTATTTACCTTATGTGGATTTATCGAAAAGAAAGTATAATTGAAAACCGGAAGCTGCAGCCTCTTTTTAGATAATCAAGTAGATTCTGATATCAGACCACAAATAAATGCGCACCTCAATGTAGGCAATGATCGTAATGTATCTTACTGTAAATTGAAAATAGAAAATAGAGGCGAAAAGTTAATCGGTACTGGTTTAGTCACTTGCTTGGCCTAGTTCAAGGTTGATCAATTAAAGCTTTCGTCGTTTTCTGTAGACTAAAGAGCAAAATTTGGAGGGCTGTTTGTATAAAAAATTATTGTTGTTTTTTTATTGTTTAAAATCTTGCACAGGTCTTCTTATAGAAGACACTCACTTGTACTATTATCGATAGATTTTCGGTACCGTACTTATATTTTCACGTAGGAAAGGGTTGCACAAAAACCCCCACAAAAAGATAGTGACCTCTGCTCTATGCTTTTGACAGATGTTGATCATTTATTTATTCCATATGTCCACCGACCAGAGAAGTTACTTACATTTCTCATTAATTTTACACAAACAATGGCCGGAGTAGAGAAATCAATAAATATTTAGACCGCAACTATGGAAGCTTAAAACAGATAAGACATGTAGGAGATAAAATAGCTGAATGTATAGTTCAAATTAGGGACAGTCAAGATAGGCCTACCACAATAACTTTGGTACAAATTTTAAGTACGGGGAAGTTAAGTCAAAATCATTGGATAGAAATGATTTAGAAATCCCAGACCCATTGTCCGACATTGATAACCTGACTTTAAATGCTCAACAAAAAGTCATACCGACAGCGCCACAATCTGACAATAATGAAATTCTTAGGTTATTGCAAAATATGTCTAGGCTACACAGTTCCTAACCTTGTCGACATAAGTGACACAAGTACAGAGACGAATGGACATAATGGAAGACAAATCAATACCTAGTGTAGATTTACCAGTTTTACCCACATTGACTACTAATAAATCAACTACATTAAGTATGTTCTTCCTAAAACTTTGAAGGATACGCCAAACGCCGTGAAAAACGAGCTTGAGCGTTTCGAGCAAGCAATGCTCGCAGAGTCGAACCACATTAAAGTTGGTCGGCTTCTCTTAAGCAAGGCCACAGCAAAACTGAAACGACTTGAACTCTAATTTAGATTCAACATCTGCTAATTCCAGTTCGGATTGAGAGCCTGGCAACCGACGTATAGACGACGAGGAAACAGACGAAGACGGAATAGCCCGAGTCCACAAAAACCAAAAATGACAATCTTTTCCGGCGACCATAGAACTATTTAAATGGGAACCATTCTTATTATATTTTGAAAGTATTGCCCGAAATCAGGAATCGTCAAATAGGAAAAAACTAGATCGAGTAATTGACTGTTTAAGAGAAGGAGGAACATGTTTCTACTAGGCGCGAGATACAATCACTACGTTAACTTGAAACGGAGTCCCTTCCCAAAGGTGACGGTAACGACAAACACTGGGCGACTAATAAGTGTTCCCCTATAGATACTCTGAACAGGACAGATATCGATATGACAATCGAACAGGGACGAATCGCAATCGATACGATAAATCGTTCCGTGACCAACCTCCACTATTTGAACATTATAATAACAGACGAGAACCAGATTGTGATCTGCCTCGTCGATAGGGCTAGGCCTAACGATAGACATTCCAGTAATTATGACAGTAATTATGAGAGTATCTTGAAGACTATGGAGGGCATCAGTGCCACAAGTCAATGCTTAGTAGAAATTGTAATGTCTCTTTAAGTAGTTGGGCGGTCTACCTCCGGAGCATTATGACGCAAAGCAACATGGGTCTCGACGGGCTTATCAGGTTGAACACAAATAACCAATGTAACAGTTTATTATAAAAGTATAAAAAGGACGCATCGCATTTACTCAAACAATATAACATTCATATCTATCTTGACTAAACTTCAATAAATATACTGGCTTCCAATAAACCAAACTAAGCCATATATACTAGTCGGATAAGACGAATAAGCCGAATAAACCGTGAAAACTGAAAAATACAAAATAATCATTTTGAATAAGCTTATCGAATGAATACACAAAGTTACACCGAAAACGAAACAGATATACAATTAATAAACTAATGATACCTCCATGAGCCTTTGTAATTACGCAAATTTCGCAGCCCAAACAAATCTTTTGGCGCACTCAAGAAAAATATCAAAACCGGAAACGGAATAATCGAATATGTATACTTCGATATCGCAATAAAT